GAATAAATCTAAAAGCTTTGCAAAGAAAACAGACACTGCTAAAAATACTCAACAATAAATCTGAATTTATAGGTGAATACATTTCACAATGGTGAAGGATTAGAGCTCACATTTTCCAGCTAAAAATATGATTTAGTCATTTGACTTAAACAACCGGCCACGACATAAACTGTAGCTTGATTATCCCACTGTTTGATAACTTTACATTCACTGTTTTCTAACAAAACGGGCATAAATAGTGTTTTTGTAACCCTTTTGCAACGCATGAAAAATTAATGTTTGATAATATAAGAGAAACTGCATAGACGCGACTCGAAATTGATTTTCTGGTCAAAGATTTCTCATATAATATAAACTAAATAAACTAAACTTAATCATCTCTCAAGCAAGTTCTGTTCGAAAACTTTGCCAAGCTATTCCTAATAAAATCTTTTTGAAATTATGTTCGCAATTACGCGCATCATTTCATGTATTCCTAAATTCTCTTTCTAAATTTGGCACAACAATGAATGACGACATTGTGAAACGAGGATAGTCGTCTGCATGCATCATCATTACCTGCAGTATATTATACTTTGTCAAAAACGCATTGTAATTTGAGAAAGGATTTGCAAATTTGAAATATACGTTACTAGTTTAAATTACCATTTTAATAATGTCAATTTTGCAACATTTTATACGATTCCGTCAGAATATTGCCTGGAATACTTAAATTAGCACATTTTATTTCCCAAATTTGCGGTTTACTAGCCAATAAAGTTTCATTTTGACAAAGACATGATATATGTTATTGCTTGCTTTACAATCATAATCTCATTTTCAGATTATTGCAGAATTTCCACAAGAATAGTCCGAAAGGCAAATTATATATATATTAAGACCTCGTGATCAACAAAATTCCTGTCAGCTTAGTCATTCATTTCAGGCGGAATATTTGATTATACTAACATATTATATTATGATAACGAATGCCACATGACTATTTTAGCAGACTATCTGTCATAAATTACAACACGTTTTTCATGCCAAACGTCATTTCCGGTTTGCTACATTTCTAGAATAGATGTGTTTAAATCAGTAACTAATAGTCCATCAATGTCAAGTAGAGATATTAGCATATAAGAAAACTCACGTTGTCTGACGAAAAGTACCGTAGTATTCATGTGGTTTTTATGAATTAAATGTCTTTACTTCATTAAACAGAAAATTACGGAAACGAGCATATAATGTTACAAAAGCAGAGCTTTAAACAGGATAAACTAAAATTCAAATAACTTTATTTTAATTCTGTGCTTCAATCCGACCGTCCCCGAAAACCCCATCTTATTCACATTACATTACGCACCTTATATATATATATATATTGCATACTCAACCACGATAAATGTTTCAAGCGGTACCAAAGCTTAGGTTCGTATTTCATTTTAACCTCTTCCCCTAATATAACAAACGTTTACTTTACACAATTATGTCAGATTCACTTTACCACTCTCTAGTTTCAAGCATAGAGCTCAATTTTTATTTGGGCTCGATTTTCTGGGCTGATTCGGAATTGGAAAGCTGTTTGAACTTGAATTCATATAAAAGTGATTTTGTTTGAGACGCAGTTCTAAGTAATCAATCTTTGAAAACAGATAACAGTTACTGAGGTTGGGTTCTATTTATACGATTGAAATAATTTGGCCTATTGCTATATATTTTCAGCATTCAAGCTCGAATTTTGGAATTCGAGTCCACTTAACTCAGCAAAAGATAGCCCGTGTAAAACTCCAAATATGAATGAAATTATGCGTGTAGAAGAATGTATTTAGTCTTCATCAATGCTCGTCATCACAATATAAAGTTCATTTACCTTTCCTTTACCTGCTAAGTGAAACATGGTTTGAAACATGGTTAAATCCAATTCAGAAGGATATCATTATTCCCCATTCGTTTCTGGTTTCTATCAGTTATTTATTTTGGTTATTCAATTTCTAGTATTCCTAATTAATTCTGCAACATTTCGACCATTTTAAACGAATATTGCGGTTCGAAAATATATGAATCTATTCTTCAGCATGACCACGAAACGTATCCACCAAAATCAGCCAGTTTTGCAACAAAATCGTGACGCCTAAGCGCAGATAGAATTCAAAATTTGTAAATTTCAATGCCCACGAGACTTTGTGAAATTTCGTCAAAACTAGAAAGAGTGAACGTTCATGACAACGTAGGTTTGAGCAAGCGTTAGTGTGCAACATAGCCTACTCATAATATTAGTATTTTTTACAGTATGGCCGTCCTTTTAGATGAAATAATGCATATGGCAAGTAGCGCAAGAGATGTATACAAAATAGTATAATTTGCTGACGTTTTGATATCCTATTCAGGGAAACCTTATCGAGGCTTTAACGTTATAGAGTTATAGACCAACGTTTCCCAGCCTGGGAGGTATTCCCTCCCTAGGGAGGATTTTTTGTCGCGCCTGGGGAGAAATTTTGCTTTGACTTTCTGTCTTTGCTATATTATACTAAAATTTTTCAGTTCATTATTATTATTACTATAATTCTCATTTCTGCATACTTATAAATAGTTTGAACTGTACAAAAGCGAGTGAGCGACTTTAGCCTAACACTAGCTAAGTATCCTTTAAAATTTAATAAATAAAGTAGTTTTTGTGCATAGCAAGGAAGGAATAAGAAGTTCTAAAATAGGTGAACATGTGGTTCAGCGATGAAGGTTGGTAACCACAAAAGCAGACATATGCCTCATTATATATAAAAATTTAGCTTCGCAAATTCCATCCCAACATACCGCTATAACGTGTTGCTTACCGCTTACAGGAATTAGAAATAGGCTCAGTCTTATTATGCTCAACAATTCCGTTTACGTATATTTCCAAAACTTGAGGGAATATGCAGGTTTACGTATTGAATTCGCTTCGACATTGAACGATGATATCACAAAAATGATCATTTCATTATAATATAAAATCACATTTTGTATCAAATGTATGTGGAAACTCTCCGAACGATCAACATAAATTCAATTTGTTTCATAGTAAGTAATATTTTCGAGAAATTTGTTGAAAAAAATGTTCTGCAATTTCTTGCAGAAACAGAGTATTAAAGAATTGGCAATGTCAGTCATAATTTATTCAATATATCCCGCGTAAGTAGATCCTTGCTCGAGGTCCGAGGTTGACTCGGATACGCCTTTTTGTTCGTGCTGAAGATTTGGTATTTCCAATGTGCGGTTTCTCTGTATAAAAATAAACAAATCCAAATTATGGATCATTGAAATCCAAATCGATTTATTTGCTTGTGCCCAATCATAATCATGGGTATCCCCGAGGTCCTTTGCAACATTATCTTTTGTCGGGTCGATCTTGTATGAACCATCTGATAACGAGAATATATGAGCGCGATAAAAGTCAGCAAACAATTTAGGAATTGATAAAGCATGATTCAATTTAGGGCCGAAACAATAGACTGATGCATTTCCTGATAATGCTCAATATATTGATGAGTTTTGGGTGTTAATTTCTCTCTCTCGGCCTGGCTTAATATAAAAAAAAACTCAAACAAGGAAGAAGATATCGTCACGCTAATAACATAATTGCGTAAGTCATTTTTGGCAGTTTTGAGAAAAACGTAAAAAACTTCCTAATGATATTGATATGCCATTGAGAGTCAATAATTTGCCGAGGTGCAATTTTTTGATCGTAGCCGGATTTAAGTTAATTTGTATGACGCATTTATGTGACGTCATAATGGCGCACTGTGACTTACGCAGAAAGGTGTCTATGACTTGGGGACATACGCAATTTTGCAACTTGACTATGTACACCAGTCCTGAAAACCAAACAATCCAATAACAAATGTAATTCTCAGTATCTACGATGTCTAATCCCCAAAATAGCTAATCTGTTCCAATTACATTATTTTTTATGTTCAAAAATATATATTTCATCAATATAACACGCTCTGCACACCCACCGAAAGAGGAGTCAGATTAAATATAAAGAATAAAACAGCGATGTACCCTTATATAAAAGCCAATCAAGGTGAATTGAACTCAGACAGTGAATATCACAAGTGCACGCCCTCTTATACTGTAGTATAAATTCAAATTTATAAGCGCTAAACTAGAATCTGGGATGCAAAAACTCGAAAATTCTTCGCCGAGGTTATTTTGCCTTTGTGACGTCACAATAATCCTGCGGTAACACCAATAATTCAGTATGACGAAACAATTGCACAAATGTGCATGTCATACAAAATCTCTATTTTTATGGGTTTCGGAATTCTAAAACAAAATCTGAGTTAACAGACAGGTGCGCAGCATTACATAAATGGTTCCATTACATTTGAACCCATGACAATTGCACCTGTATGCTATTGTACCTATGAATTTTTTTTTGTTTTACGGATAGTTGAACCCATACTAACCCTAACCCATGGGTTTTAGAACCCGCATATAGATTGAACCCGTGGATATACACATGGGTTCAAATGTACGTGGGTTCAAATGTACGGTCACCACAAAATCTCCATTTTTATGGGTTTCGGAATTCCAAAACAAAATCTGAGTTAACAGACAGGTGCGCAGCATTACATAAATACCTAATTTATAAAAAACTCAAAACCGCCAAAAATGACTTACGCAATTCGGTTATTAGCCTGACGATATGATTATTAACGTTGCAGTCTGTATAGAAACTAATCAACGCAATCTAATACAATATGACGTTTTGAATGCCAAACCATATAGCAGGAGAGCTATCAGCGACAACTTGCGACCAATATTGAAATTAAGTTTTGAACACCACGAAGAGCTAAAGAGTCCGAGTCATTTGTCTAATATAAACAGACATCGGATAGTTCGACCTAAGGCCAAAAATTCAATTAATCATCGATTAGTTACAAAGCGCATCGTATAAAACCTTCCGCCTCCCAGTATTCGGCAGCAGTCTGTGGCATGTCGCCGTATGTGTAGCCTATTATCCTGATGCGATCAGAAGATTCAACACTGTATAAAAATTATCTATTACAAGTGTTTCGGAGAGTCACTGCTTTCTCATTATCGACTTACCTGTGTCTGAAATTGATATTGGCAACGTCTCTAATTCAAATTTTGTAATAAAGTATTTCAGAGGTAATTTATTGCTCAGAATTCCTACTTGTTGAAAGATTCTTATGATGAAATTTCGCCATATTTCTGAATTTTACTTATTGTTTCGATGTTTCAAAATATCTAGAATGGAGGATGAAAGAGGTATGTGGATGAAATTAGGTTGCGGATGAAATAAGTTCAAAAGTACGTTTTGAATTATGGTTAGTTCTAATATAAATCTAACGAAGAATGTTTCGAAGATCTATGATCATAAAGATAACTCAGTACCTTATTGTTGCTATATTAATATTTAGTTCGCAATTTAGCTTACTGCTCAGGTTTTACTAAATTTAGTCAATTTTTCATCCCATAAATGTATAAATGCCAAGTTTTCGGTGCTTATTAATTGCTTTTGCCATGAGTTGACTTTTATCACGCTCTTGATATTTAATACCAGATTCAAGTTATATAGGTTGTTTACACCGATAATTAATATTATTTATGCTGATTTTATTTATTGTCTTGGTAGTAAGGAGTCTGTAGTTTGACAAAAAGTTTTTGTTGCACTATTTTTCACTCCGTTATTTTTTTTTACATTCTATGTTCTTATATTTGCTCTATGTCCAAAATAAACAAAATAATGTAACTTTGAGAGCAAAAACATTTGCGGTAATAAGTTGGCACATTAATACAAAAATCCCAGATTATCGAGTTTACTGATAAACCAAGCACCTCATGTTAGTAATAACAATCGACAACCCTGGATAATTATATGGAGGAGTTCATTTATCTCTTCCTAACTCATCGCAATCGAATATAAAAAAAAATTGCCGATGACTGAATATTTTGCTCGTCTATTGTACAATTTTTAATGGGCATCTACAGGAAGCGTGCACTTATATAATTTCCTTTGTAGCATCATGCATTTTTGAATCGGCGAATCACGCAGTCCACGGTCCATAGTCTTTACTTCTATTCGTCACGACGCTTTGAGTGGATGTAATAATTTAATCTTCAAAATTTATCCAAAATATGACTAGCAAGCTAACCCAAACTATAGTAAAAAACGATAAAATATATAAATATATAGGGCTTGCATAAACATATGGAGAAGTTTGAGCATCATTAAATAACTTGAACCTTAACTGAAAAATATTATTTATATTCTCGAGCCCGAACAAAATCTATCAAGTACGGTGATTCGGTATCTTCAGCACTCATGAGTCACAAAACAAAATCTGTTCGTTGATTAGTTGCTATGTCGTCCGTCAAATTGATCTTTTACCGACGCCATGTCGGTATTTAGAAGTTCTTCGAAGTCCTCCTCTCAGAAACATGTTAAACATATTTATTTATTTGTTGGTGTATATTTTGTCATGTGCCATATGTAGAATGCAGTAAATAAAATAAGATATAGTCTACGTGAATTTAGGAAAAAGTGGTCCGATTCACAGTTTCAGAAAAACAAACGATATGAATTATTCTACATTCAAGAAAGAATTAGTTTTAGTTATTACTTTAATATATCAAGTTAATTTACAATTTTTTAGTTGCATCTTGTGATCGATTCTCTTTGAACAACAACAAACTGTGCATCTCATTTGAGGGGATATAAAAATTGAATTCCTGGCTGTATTGTAACTGTACTGTAACTGTAATTAGTCTAGAGATGTATCGGTATCGGGTATCGGTATCGGCAATATCGGCCATTTTTTCGGTATCGGCCATGTATCGGTATCGGTTAGATTAAGGCCGATATTTTTGATATATTTACCTTTTTGATATGGTTCAGAATGTTTTAAAAGATATGTTGGAATACTACTTTTTAATTTATTTTTTGTCTGGAGAGATCGTGAGCTATGAGCCATACATGTCCCCACCCCCGTGAGTGAATAGGATTCACGTGTTTTTAGCTATTTATCAGCCAAACTAGCTCAACTAATTTGGCTTTTTTCGCCGTCAATTTTTATATATTGACATTTTTGATATTACATAGTAATTATGAAGAAATATATCAACACAGCACATAACAAAAAACAACCAGGCGCCCAGTTTTAAATCATACAGTGGAATTGGGGTCCTTATTAACGGCACATGAACTTTTGGCACGGGTATAAATTCTGGCTGTTTGTCGTCAAGTACGAGTGTCATTTAGTCCGTCGACATCGTTAAACTAAATTCCGACACAATTATCCCTCTACGCAGGTATTAATTTTAATTTTGTTTAACTACACAATGTCTTCATATATATATTGACATGACCGCCTAGCCCTAGACTGTCTCAAAATATATGATAGCAATTGTAAAATAATATAAAATAGTAAAGTAAAAAAACATCCTCGACGGTTATAGGTAGGCCTTCTTTTTGTCGGTGCTGATTGATATTCTTTCACGTTGGCTTTGACTTATTGCGTCGACGATTATACGATTAGCCACGGAATAAAATATCTGTAAAATGCTTTTAATTTGAACGTAGGACGGCGGCGCTAGAATGTGTGGGTGATATTCGATATTCTTTCAAACACGAATAACGATATTCGAAGGTCGCGATATTAACATTAAATTCAAATTGGACATCCCGGCTTATGAGTTTTTTAATTGAACACCGAGATTACTAGCTTTATTGTACAATGTATCTTGATCAGTGAAAGCATATGGATACCAAACATTAATTTCATATTATGTGATATATCTTTTTATTTCGATCTGAAATAATGTGTTCTATGGACAACGCTCAAAGACCATTGTTTTAACCCGTCGGCCCTACACAGCACACCTAATTAAGTAATAATTACATAGTATCGGTATCGGAATATCGGTAATATCGGCCTTTTTGTAGTATCGGCGTATCGGTATCGGCGTTTTTAGCTGGTATCGGATCGGTATCGGTATCGGCGACAAAAGTGGTATCGGTACATCTCTAGTAATTACATTATAAATATGTTGTGGTCCTAACGCATACAGTTGTAGCACATTCAAGTTTCACATGTAGAGTGAAAATCGCAAAATACTTACTTGTGCGCCGGTTCAGATGCCAATAATCAGTTGTGAATCACTGATGATCTTTTGGGCGTGTAAAATTTTCATATTGCCAACTTACCTTTTTAGGCTATCGTGACCATTACCAGATCAAATCGATCTGTCATGTTGTTTATCTTCAAAAAAATTTGAAAATGCCTAGATTGTTATATGCATAATCATACTGCGTATATGACTAGGCTTACCATGCGTCCCGCTTTAGGCGGGACAGTCCCGCTTTTTAGCGTCTTGTCCCGCCGTCCCGACAAGTCAACCAAAAGTCCCGCTTTTGCGTTCAGCCATCCAGCATAATACACGAACACGTTCTTGTTACTGTTGTTGCTGTGTAGCGCAACGCTAGGCTACTTACTGAAGGTGAATGCGTTATTTTGTTTGTTTCGTTGTTTCCCGCTAAAATCAATTCTAATTGGTCCTGTTCGGACATTTACGTGAATATAACATTGAGCAACGTCTTTTTAAAGGTGGTATCTGAAGAAGAAGCAAGCTTAGCGAATAAGTAAATTCCCAATGCTTGAAAACGGCAGACTATTTCATTATTCTTTCTTCCTTTTGCTGTACATAAAAAAATCTAAATTCGAATCATTTGTATCGTTAGCGTCTATTCCTTTCTATTTTTCGAACTGAATACGATATCTATACAGAGAATATGCGCATGAACTCTCGATGACAATGTGGTCAATGAAGACAGCCGGGATGGCTTTAAATGTAGGCCTATGTAGTAAAATCGGAAACTGTAAAGTTACAGGATCACAGCTAAGTGGTCGTGTCTTTGGAGGCGTCTCGCTTTGAAGTCCAAAAAATATGGTAACTTTATATATGACCGTGTCTAATTCTTTCATGTGCTATGTCATGCTTCGTATATTAATGCATATCAACTTTCAAACTTGAACACTTGATATTTGCACCATTGGTTGTAAAACCATTGCAGTTAAATTGTTTTGTATCAAATCTTAGCATCGGTTTCCTCTTGAGCGGAAATCAAAAAGAGTGGAGACGCTGATTAAAGTGTGACGAATATAGTAAAAAAAAACGGGAAAGTGTAATCAAGTTTAAACATAACACCACTGATTTCATGAATTTTTAATATACAAAATTGGAATTATTTTGCAATGCACAAGCTTTAATCAGTGTTTTATATAATATATATATTTTGTAAACAGTATTCAAGATAGAACTTTTATTCCATTGTGACTAGGAAAAAGCAATCTCAATACAGTCACAAAACAAAATCTGCTCGTTGGTTAGTTGCTATGTCGTCCGTCAAATTGATCTTTTACCGACGCAATGTCGGTATTTGGAAGTCCTACTTCTCTCAGAAATATGTTAAACATATTTATTTATTGTTGTATATTTTGTCATGTGCCATATGTAGAATGTAGTAAATAAAATAGGATATAGTACTACGTAAATTTAGGAAAAAGTGGTCCGATTCACAGTTTTAGAAAAACAAATCATCTGAATTAATCTACATTCAAGAAAGCATTAGTTTAAGTTATTACTTCATTATACCAAGTTAATTTACAATTTTTTTAGCTGCATCTTTCTTTGTGATCGATTTTCTTTGAACAACAACAAACCGTGCATCTCATTCGAGGAGAAATATTCGTGATTCACGTATAGTCTTTTATATCAGTCCTTAAATCACGAACGACAGAGTAGAAACTTATTCAGGAATTTTTCTTGCATTCGCATATCGCTACTTTGGTGTGGCTTCACCAGAGAACGACGTCGAAATCATGGATTTTTGGTTTTGGTGAAGGCTGGTTCAACTCATGATGTTCGATGTTAGAAAAAGAAGTGATATGGAGTATATGGATGGAGTAAGCTCTAGAAGTGGTAAAATAATATTTAATATAGCCCATGTTTATATCTATTTTTTTTAATCAACGTTAGTTGGACTAAAAAAAGCAAGAACTAAATAGACCTCAGCTAGGATACTTTTTTCGAATTCAAATGCCCATTTACTTCTCCAACCAAGTTTTTTGTCTCACTATTTTTTGGATATGTATATTTTGTGTTTTGCTCTGTACTCTTACTGGGGATTACAAAATCAGAGCATTGAATTAAGACAATGGTGTGATGCAATTTTGGAACATGCCAATGAATTCTATTCCCATAACATCCAGGTTTTATCTAAAGTAAGATAAAAATTTTATTGGGCGTACTCCTATTTACCAAAATCAATAACAATGCAAGACGAAAAACCAACATCGTCAAATATTCAACATAAAGCAAAAACTGGAAGCTTGTTCAAAAGACAATTTGATTATGTTATCAACCTTGTCGGACTGATGGTTGGATTCAGCAACGTTTGGAGATTTCCGTATATGTGCTACAAGAACGGCGGAGGTAAGAAAAACTGGATTCTTGGCTGTATAGTAAATGAATTACATTATAATATGTTGTGATCCTAACGCATACAGTTGTAGTACATTCCAAGTTTCACATGTAGAGTGAAAACCGCAAAATATTTGTGTGCCGGTTAAGATGCCAATAATCAGTTGTGAATCACAGATGATCTTTTAGGCTTGTAAAATTTTCATATTGCCAAGTTACCTTTTAGGCTATCGTCCCCATTACCAGATCAAATCTATCTGTCATATTGTTTATTTTCGAAAAAAATTGAAAATTTGTAGGCTTCGTATATTAATGCATATCAACTTTCAAACTTGATATTTGCACCATCGATTGTAAAAACGTTGCGGTTAAATTGTTCTGTATTAAATCTTAGCATCGGTTTCCTTTTAGCAGAACTCAAAAAGCGTATAAGGACGCTGATTAAGTGTGACGAATATATATAGTAAAAAAAGGAAAGTGTAATCCAGATTAAACATAACACTACTGATTTCATGAACTTTTAATGTACAAAATTGGAATTATTTTGCAATGCACATGCTTTAATCAGTGTATTATATAATAGATATATTTTGTAAATAGCAGTCTCAATACAAATCTTGTTTCATGAGTGCATGGCGCATGAGTGCAATTGGAACTAATGGTTCTAGCCTTATGATAGAAATCACTACACGTGATCATCAAATCACCCAGCTGTAATAGTATTGTAACTAACTTATTATTTTTCAGGCTCCTTTCTTGTTGCCTACTGGATTTTTGTGATTCTTCTGATTTTTCCAATTATCATGATAGAAAGTGCTCTCGGTCAGTACACGGGGAAAAGTGCAATCAAGATATGGTACATGACGCCGATGTTTAGAGGTAACTAATGCTTTTGATCGGGAATATCTACTAACAAAATTATGCTTGAAGTAGCAAAAAAGAGTAATCTAGATCCACGCAATGTCACTTTTACTAACATTCGTGAAAACTCGTCAGGTGTACCTGATCATTTTTAGTACAGTGACTTAAACTTCCCTAAAATTGCGAATAATATTTTCCACAAAAATTATGTACGTTCCCAACTTAAATGGTTGGATAAAATGTACCTTTCGTAGACTGTGTAGTCTTAAAATGACCAATAAGAATGTTTATGCACTGACATTTCCGACATAGGACCGTGAATCTGTGTGAGACTTGTAAATGCAACCACCACCAAATGCCGTGTCTGCTCACATGTATAATTAAGTCGTCAAATGTGGATTCTAGCTATGAAATTTATACACATATATATAAAATTAATCGAACAATGGCATTCTAATGTGCAATACTTTGTAACAGGTATTGGGTACGCGTCTCCATTTCTCATGTTTTTCTTTAATCTGTATTACCCTGTACTACTTGCCTGGACATTACGTTGGTTGGTTGCCAGTTTCTCAGTTGATATCTCATGGACGAAATGCGGCAACGATTGGAATACGGAGAACTGCTTACCTTTGTCCGTGGAAACCAGGCGTTTGTCCGAGGTAAGAGTACCTATACACATTACCTGAACATTTTACAGATTTTTTTTTTTATATATTGTCTTTTTTCTTCTTCCTTCTTCTCCTTCCTTCATCTCATTCTTAAAATCTTTCTACTCTTTCCGCCTTTTAATAATCTATCTTTTAAGGGAAATACAACGATGCTGAAAATGGATGAATCGTTCGCAAATGCCACCGCGTTAAACGCGACAAACTATATTTCGTCAGTGGAAGAATTTTGGAGGTTCGGTTGCGTTGATATGAAGTATATATTCAAATTTATAACCTAAACCTCTGTCTGCTCACCACTTGGGCACATTTTGTATACCTGCATTCTACAGATGAATCCAATGTATATACATATGTTAATAAGTAATTGAGTAAAACTCAATTAAGCATCTGTCGATCGAGCAACAGCTTTAAAAATTCGATTTCATCAAATAAATAATTTTTTTTATTATATTTCATGCGGTCGAATGATTGAAAAAAAAAAGACTAGGTCCCCAGTAGATATATAAAACGTGCTCAAGGAGACCACAGACATTGACGTCGAAGCAACTCCAGATACGTGCCTTATCGGTACATATCAGTGGTAGGTGCGGCTTGACCGAAACCGACGACTGATAGGATAATATAATTCTGATAGAGTCTTATACTCGGTCTTTCTATGCGTTTCGTGCCGCCACTGCAAGACTTTGACAAGAAGAGGAATGAATTTGCTTAAGTACAATGATATACTTTCCGCAAGACCACTTCTGTTACACTCGTCGAAGAACTTATCATCAGAGGATTACAGTAGTCGTGAATCAAATACATTTTGGGAATGTAAAGTATACATGATTCGGTTCTACTCTACCAACATATTGATCACTTCTTAAACATTTATAAGATGATACTGCTTTCTAATATGTTCTTTTTATTCCAATTTAGGCATAATATTCTCAACATAACATCTGGAATCGAATACATAGGTGATGTCAAGCCTGATATTCTTGCCTGTCATATTGCCGTCTGGGTTCTGGTGTATTTTGCAATTTGGAAAGGAATTCAATGGACGAGCAAGGTAATTTGAACGCCTTTTCTACAAAACATTGCGTTACTGTTTCAGAAAATTAAAAAATAAGTTATATTGGTCACGGGTTCTGCTCCCATTTCAATCCCTGAACGGCCGAATGTTTCTAAAAGTCTATAACGCAAACACCATAACGGAGGAGTTCGGGAGGATGTAGTACTGGCCTTGTTAATTTTAAAACTTATTGGGAAGCTGTCACGTTACGTAATTTGACAGTATATTTAAGGCAGGAATGGCGTTTTATTCGTGACCCGCCAAGGTACAATTAAAATAAAATAAATTGCTAACATATCAGTTATAAAAATTGATAAAACCGGCCTTAAATTATTCTAACAATAACTAAACTTGGGCAGGCAGGGCTGCGATCGCTCATATTCAAATTGTTAGTTCTGGGTCAGTATGGTAATTTTTAAAACTCCTAATGTACACCGCTGTGTACCGTTATTCAGCTATTGAATCTGATCGTTTACGACATAGCAATGGAATTGATTTGTTCTTTTCTCGCAACGTCTTGTCTCTTTCGGAAGTGCATCTGTGGACTGTTTTAGGGGTTATACGAGAACTAGACTCTACTTTATATTTTATTAGTTTCTCGCCTACAATGCCGTGGTTGAATATTAATGTGGTTGAATGCTGATCGAAAAATATAACACTATCAGAGTGGAATTCCCCCCTAACTCTTTGGAACCGTAAAATAATTTGCCACATCATCCTAAACGTTTTGGTAATTCATATGCGTGTTTTCGTACTCTAATTTCATGACATTGCAGGGACCGTACCGGGGCTCTATTAATATTCTTCCTTCCTTTCCTTATAAATGTCGTAGTACGGTGTGCTATATATACTTCTTCAGCTCTTCGAGTACAGTATCACAGTTTTAAGTTCTTGAGATATTCATTAATAGTAGTATCATACAAATCACACAGAAAGTCAACCATGTCTCTTTTCCTCTCCTTTCAGTCCTCGGCTTATATATTCGACAGAACAGATGGTGCGTCATAGGTGTCAAATCGTTAACACTCTTGATGTTGTCGCATCATCTGTTCAGTCGGTATAATTAAGGTTGACACCACAGGCTCCGCAGCTGGTTTTTCCACTATTCTGATTTAGGGTGTATCACAGTTTTAAGTTCTTGAGATATTTATTAATAGTAGTATCATACAAATCACACAGAAAGTCAACCATGTCTCTTTTTTTCTCCTTTCAGTCCATCGGCTTATATATTCGACAGAACAGATGGTGCGTCATAGGTGTCAAATCGTTAACACTCTTGATGTTGTCGCATCATCTGTTCAGTCGGTATAATTAAGGTTGACACCACAGGCTCCGCAGCTGGTTTTTCCACTATTCTGATTTAGGGTGTGGATGGAAGCTGAATTAATGTGGTGATAATAATTTACGGGGGTGGGGCTATACTACACGACAATTGAAGGTGGCCCAATGATACCAGCATAAGTTATCCCTGAGATTTTATAAAGGGTGGTGTAAATATGGGGGGAGGGGGGGAGGCTGCAGTGTCAAGCAATAAATTGCAAAATATGAAATTGATTAAACTTCACAAAAAAAAATACTGAGACATTGAGACGGACGAAAATAATTAATGAATGAGATACAATGAGGGAAAACTAGAATCGAAGGAAAGTGATTAATAAAGTATATACGATATATGTTACTACGCATGCGTTTACATATCTTTAAATATTATGAGCAACAATTGTTTATATATAATAAAATGCAAATGTAGTAAATATGAGCTATTATGTACGCAGTATAAATATGAATATAACAGCGGAATGAAAAAAATATGTGATTAGCAAACAATTATACATGATTAAACTACAGAAGAAAATAAAAGTGCTATATATTATAGTTATTTTGAGTGTACAGGATATGCGGTGTGCCTTGGTATGGCCGCTTCGGTTTTGGCATCTGTCATATCAATTCTGGTATCATATGTGGTAGAAGTGCGTTTGCTACTGGCGTCTCCTTGTCGTTTGTTTATTGTCGTATTTGACAACTTGTGTTTTAAAATAGGGAACAAACGCCAGATAACCATGATAGTCAGTACCGTTCCCCAGAAGAGAGATAAGTGAAATAAAGTTAGGTATATCCCGGCGACGATAGGCTTTGTGATGAAGGAAAGGGCTTGTTCTAAAGTACTACGTAGTCTGTTCGTGGCATACTGGAGCGCATACGATGTGTTGGCGCTTTGCGAATACTCCATAGTGGAGTCAAAATTTTCAAGTAACTGCGCTTTTATCAGGTTCGTGTGCGACATTGATAGAAGCACATTTATCTCATCTTCGCGATTTGCGTCGTGAGGTAGCGTTGACAATTGACGTACAAAGTCAATTGGTTCGTAACTCGCATCGATACGAGTCAGAGAGGGGCGCAATAAAGTCACTCTCGCTTGTGCTTGTGCAAGAGTGTAGTTCACATATGTGTAAAACTTTTGGCCGATTTCAAAAGTAAACGTTCGGCCGGGATGATAGTGTTCCAAAAAATGGGCGCCAGAGTATGCTTTTCCGTCTGAGAATACTTGAGCGATTCGTTCAATATTTTTCTCATCAGTGTATTTAAGCAACGGTTTAGTTGCGAACAGACTATCGTAGTGTAAATGTGGAACAAGCGTTACGTTTATTTTTTCACATGCTATCTCTAGCAGAAGATCGCCGCTTGTAATCGCTGCCCTGTTTCCACCTAATATTGCCTGAAGAACTGCGCCGGGATATTGTCTTGCTAGGGTTCGGTAATTGTTTGCCAACGAATTTTCTAATTGACACTCTAAATATTGCAAATCTACTGTTAATCTATTAAATACGTCTGCCACTGCGTCCGCGTTTCGTTCGGCTAAATTAGCAAGGGAGACGTCATCAATCGGGTTGGAAAACATAGCGTTTAAGGATGTTAATTGTGATTTTGTGTGGTCGATAGCGGACAATTCTGTGCAGTTCTTTGAAGCAAAGAGTATTCCTGCGTTGGAGCAATACATTCTGTCGCAGTTGAAGCATCTTTGTGTGAAGTCACCGCATGTCGACCACGAATGCAGATTTATTCCGAGTGAGGCGATTTCAATTTTATACACCTCGTTTGTTGAGTTGATATGAAAAGTTATTGGTGCTGTGGTGAATTTTGTCTTTGGACAATCTATTAGTGGAGAGGTTTCCCATACTATAGTCTGAGTACCAATAGTGCAAGACCCACGTTTAACGTCGCATGTATCCAAGGCAGGAACGGGTCCTGATAGTTTGTCATTGGCATGGTCAAAATATAAGCTAATTCGGGAAAGTAAAGCATTAGAAACTTTTCCTGTACTGGATGTGGGCCATGTATAAACGGGTTTTACTTCATTAGATGTCGTCCAAAGGTTCTTGCTTTGTTTTGCGAATTTTCCCATCCGATAATCCTGTTTTGTGGTTTTCCAATTGTAGCAAAGTAAATTACTGGGTGGTGAAGCGAATTTGGTTTCTATATTATGAACTTTGGCTCCGAAGAAATAACTTGTGGTCTGCCAGATTGTGGTTGATTCCTGACAAACGTATGCAGTAATTCTTGTTCTAGCCGATTCTAGTTGGTGTATTTCGGCATTACATTGCGATACTGTTGTCCGAGGATGTTTTATGCACGGTTTAGTTGGTTCTATTGAGTATTCTTTGATAGGTTTGTCTGGGTAGCAAAGATCCATTTCTATTGTCTCTGTGTTGATGTAGTGGATAGATGTCAAGAAGATGAACAAAGTCATAATAAAACACCTAATAGAAAACGAAATCGCCGTATCTGAAGCCATTGGACGGGCGCGTGTGACGACCGGCACGTGTTGTGGTAGGTTGTTCATGTTGGTTCAAGTTGAATAAATCGCTGATGTGCTCGAGAGGATGTTCTTCGTCTTCTTGGCAAGAAATTGTTCCGGTGTCTTTTTTTTCTTTCTCTTCAGTATCTAAAGGATCGATAAAAGCCGGTTTTAGTCTATCGATTGCAACATTGAATGGTTTTCCTTTATAGTTTAGCGTAAAAAATTTTGCGTGTCTATTAATGACACGGAATGGTCCCCGATAAGGTGGTGTTAATGGTGGGCGTACGGTTTCGTCCCGAAAAAAAGCGTGGGTACAAGTTTGTAGTCCCGTAGGAACAAACGTTCTCCTGGTCAGCGGTGTCCGTGTTTGTGGGGCTTTCAGGTTGTCGATGAACTGTTGTAATTTCCATACAAATGCATCGTAATTTGTTTCTTCGGTTGTCCTTTCAAACAATTGTCCCGGGAGACGTAAATCTGAGCCCAAAGTCATTTGTACAGGACTATATCCTATGTCATTTTTGATAGCTGTCCTCAGTCCAAGTAGTGCCATTGGGAGATTTGATGTCCAGTTTTGGCTTTCTGAATAGGTCATTAAGGAAGCCTTAAGGCGTCGATGAAAAGATTCGATTTCACCGTTCGCTCGAGGAGTATAACTACTTGTTTTAATATGTTTTGAGCCGATGAATTTCATGACGTCACTCCAAATTTTTGAAGTGAATTGAGCACCTCTATCTGTTGTCACAGTGGCTGGGCAGCCGAATCTGGCAACCCAGTTCAGCAGAAACGCGTTTGCCACAGTTTCCGTTCGCATATCAGGAATTGGAATCACTTCTACCCATTTCGTGAAACGACAGATGATGGTTAATGCGTAAATATTCCCATTCGATCTAGGCAATTGTCCGATCAAATCACAATGCACATGGCTGAATCTCTCGTTTGGTGTGATTATAGGAGAAAGCGGAGAGATTGTGTGTCTTGCAACTTTACACTTTTGACATTGTATACACGATCTGCAGAATTTCCGGATATCAGCTCTGATTCCAGGCCACGTAAAGCGATTGCGGATCTTTTCTAGGGAAGCCCGTGTGCTAGGATGGGATAAGGAGTGTATGACATCAAACACCATTTTTCGCATTGAGTACGGAACGATAGGCCTTAGTCGAGCTTGAGAGTTGTCGCAAATTAAATGTAGGTTGGA